ATTTGAGTTTAAAACAAATTAAAGATGTTCTAAGGATTTAGAAGTGAATCTTTCACAACTCTCCCCACGCTTCTATCAGGACTTCTCACTAGACTCCACATTCATTTTAACTTTTATGAATGTTTCAATATTTGGTCATTTCTTTTGATAATTCAGAGATCTCAGGTTTTTACTCTCTTCTCACACCCTAAGGGTTAGCTACACTTGCCCTTTTGGGGGTATGCTTTACACCTGCTCAACTTACGATGATTGGTCGCTGAGCTCGAAGGATTAATTGGCACAAGCTTAAACACACTGTAATAAAAATAAAAAATCATCACTAGCACATGATATCACTAGTTCACAAAGCGAGCAAAGTGGATCTCATAAAATTTAATAATTACTCATGTAAAAAATTAGGAAAAATTCATCCACCCCCTGTAGATATGCATAACTTCAATGACACTCCTTCTCAATTCTGAAATTTCTCTAACACCCCTTGTTAGTCTTAATTAAGTAACGGACGTGATAAAAATGCTTCTTTTACCACTTTATCCTTAAACTTATATATATATATATATATATATATATATATATATATATATATATATATATAAATGTTTTCAGAGGGATCTCTGAAGTAGATGATGGTTGATAAAGAAATCCTCGATCTCGATCATAATTTTCAGTATGAATATTACGCCCAACAAGAAACTTGTGATTAGTAGTAAAACAACGATTCTCCCGTTGAGACTTAATTCTATTTTCAGAGATTTTTCGAGATATTTTCTTACGAAGTTTTATTATAGCATCTATAACTGTTTCCGGTTTAGAGGGACAATATATATATATATAACCTTCCCCTAACCCACCCCTCCTTACCCATTCTCACCTCTTTCGTCACCGTCTGCCCCTCCATAACGTCATCCAACACCCTCCTCACATCACCCCCTACGTTCTCTTTTTTTGCCTTTCTCTCTCTATCTCTCCACAAAACCCTTCCATCCGTGTCAAAATAGGAGCAAAACAAAATCAAATTGATTTGGGGGGTTTGTGATGGGTGTTGATGCAAGCGTTGTGGTGGTGGATTGGTGGTGGTGGATATGTGAAAGCTGATTGTCAACAGTGTGTGTGCGTGCACATTGTGGGAATGATTAATGTCAAGTGGTTTGGGACAAATTGGGCATGAGTGTAGGGCTGAGTGGAGGCTGAACTCTTTCTCTCTCTCTCTCTAGCAACCCTTTTCCGATTGTGTTGAGATAGGAGCAAAAAAAGATCAAATTAATTTAGAGGTTTTGTGATGGGCATTTAATGCAAGGGTTGTGGTGGTGGGCATGTGAAAACTAGTAGTCGACAGTGCATGTGCGTGCACATTGTGGGAATGGTTGATGTCAAGTGAGTTTGGTATAGATTGGGCATGGGTGTGGCACTGAGTGGAGGCTGAACTCTCTCTCTCTCTCTCTCTCTCTCGACAACGTATAAGTGGGTGGGAGTGATGTGTGAAAACAACTGGCTGGTCTGTCCCTAATTTGCTTGCTTGATAAATTTGTTGGACTGAATGTTTGCTGCTACATCAATCTCTAATTTGATTTAGTTTTCAGGCTTTCAACTCTAATTTGGATTTTTGTTAAATATAATAATATCCTCACCAACGAATTGGTATTGAAAAAAAAAGAATGTTGTATATTTAGTTTAGCTGGTCTGTGGTGGTGCCAAAGTGGTGGTGTTTTGGAGACGAAGATGCATTAGAAGTGGTATTAAGAAGAAATGGGTAAAATTTGTATTTTTGAAGAAAAGCAAGATGATATCATCACTTTTTTAGTTGTTAGTAATGGTTTGTCGTGGTAAGAGGTATAGTTGAAATAAATATATAAACTATAAGGAGATGCAGTAAAATTTCAGAATTCAGAAAAGGTGTCATTGAAGTTAGGCCTATCTACATAGGAAGTGGATGAAATTTTCCCAAAAATTTATCTTGGTGACACCATGTAGGCTTATTCATCGCGCCAGTAAGGTGGGTTTGTGTTAAGTAGTAGAGGGTTTATGTCAAAAAATATTTTATTTATACTCGATTCATATATTAATTCGTGTTTAATAAATCGTGTCATATCAAGTTCGTTTCGCATATGCATTATGAGACATATTTTATATTTCTTTTGATTAGTTTCATCTATATTTAATTCGTTTATTAATTATGTCATTATCAGATACACCCGTTTATGAAATTTGTGAGTTAAAGAAAATTCAAACATTTTAATTTCGTGTGGTGTTAATGATTCATGTAATAACGTGGCGTCACTGTTATATCGGATATTTTATTTTTTTGGTTCCACGGTTAGAGATGTTCGGCCCAATTTATACACGCCTCAACTAATCCTTTCCTTAATTAGGTCCAAGACCTAGTTCCAAGGATTCCCAAATTTCCAACTCAAGAGGTCTACTCGGTTCGAGAACCTCCCAATTGCCAGGCTAAAATACAAAAACAATCCTGTCCAATAGGGGTGCAACTTGGATTGGCCAACCTAAATTCAAATCGAGCCCAACCCAAAAAAAAAAAAAGACTTGGGTTAGAATTTTCAATACTTGGATTAGGTCTGGGTAAAAAAATTCTAACCCGATTTGAATTTGGGTAAGTCTTGGGTTGAGACTTCGGGTTGTCAGGTTCAACTCAAATATTAAAATCTGGTTGAACTCGAATATATTTAAATATATAAATATATTTAACTAAAATTAGTATTTATCTTTACTCTTTATAATTCAAACTTTCACTTCACTTTAAGTTTTCACTCATGCGCCTCCATCACTCTCAAATCTCTCTCTCACTTGTCACTCCTCCCTCTGTCAATGGTCACTCATTTGAGTTGTCTCAGACTCTCAACCTCCTTCTCTCACTCATCACTTCTTCTTCTCACACTCTCTTTTTCTTTATATGCGTCTCGCCCTTTATCTCAGATCACTTAAAAAAATTAGATCTACAATTAAAAAAATCAACTCAAATTAAGTAATTCAAGTCCAATCCAATTTTTAACTACAAATCAACCAAAAATAAATAAATTAAATTTAACATAAGTTCACCCGAATTGAACTCGGGCAATAGTCAAGTTGAGTAATTGCGTTGAGAGAAGGTTAGGGTTAGGATAGATTATATCCGATTAGTCTAGGTTGACCTCTAGTCTAAAATTCAAGAACAACCCCCAAGACGCCAATTAGGTCAGGTCTCAGTCTCTCTCCCAAATTGGAAAGTGCGTGGACGATTGGTCTCCGGCATCTCCGCTCATTGAGCCGAGACGCAAGGATGCATGCACACAGTCAATGAGGAATATAAAATTCATTTGTAAAAATATCTGTTTTGAACGTTTCAATTCCATTCATCCATTCATTCATTGATATCTATGTAAAGCAGAACAGCACCACTTCAACGGCATCACCGTCTTTAATTCTACGCTATCGATTTGGTGGCCTTTTCATCTTCGTTTTTCTTCATTTGTAAGACCCTTTTTCTGTTTTCCCTTCTTTCCTTGCGATTATATTCATGTTTGCTTCATGTTGAAGCTTTTTAAATGCAGATCTGTGTTGTTTTAGAAATCCCCCCTTTTTTGGTTTTATTTGATTCTACTTGCTATGATCGTTTTAATGGATTGATCTTGAACTTGTGTTGTTTTAATTTTCTGGGTATGGTGTAATTGTTTATGGTTGTTGGAGTTATGGAATTAGTCGACTGACAGATGTGAACTTTTTGCAAGATATTGAGGTTATAATGTCTTTTGTGATTGAATAGGTCACTTTTGGGTTTGAATGGAAAGTTGTGAATTGGAGGTAAGACGAAAACTATTACTTTCATTTAATGCGCAAAATGGGCATGGACAAGTGTTTTTTTTTTTTTTTTTTTTTTGGAGTTTAATTTTTCCTGTTAGAGACTACTAAATGAACATGATCTACCAACTGAGTGGAATTGGAGATTAGTATTTATGTGAATAGGAGGGAAGTGGAAGATAGAATCTTTGATCTCATACATTATTGTAAACAAAGGCAGAAAGCAAAGCAATCTGTGGAGCATGAAATCATTGATTATAGTATCATGGTCCCTCAACTTCCCCAGATTTATTGATGCTATTTCTGAACTCTGAAAGAAAAGCATTAGATTTATCAGAAAATGTTGGCCCATCTGAGATGTGGTTTAGTTTTAAAGAAATGCTGTGGAGCACTGATGAGAATAAAAAAATATACTAGTATGGGTGCAAGAGAGGTATTTAGTACATGTTCATATGAAATCAACCATAGCTGTCTTCAATTATTGTGTTGCGTACTTTGCATCTTTGGAATTATGGAGTATTGCTTCTAAATGATTCACTTCTTGATACAAGCCTTTTTTTACATGCTTTGCTAAGTTTTGGAGAAGGGTTTTAGTCATGAAGACTAAACAAAGGCTGTCTTCATGAGTTTCTTTTTGGTAATCCAAAAGTTCTATCATCAACGTGACTTGTTGTTCCTTTATTCATGTTAACAAGTAAAACCTTTCTGTCATTGCTGCCCTTCTGGTTAATTTAAATTTCTAAATTCTGCCCTTGTGGTTAATTTGAATTTACTGACTGCTGATGTTTGGTTACACTACCTTTTGGGGTTTAAAAAGAAGATATTTGGTTAGTCTAGGTTGTTCTTGACTACTTAAGAGCAGAGCCTGGTGTCTATAGATGCAACAAAACACCTTGATGTTAATCTTTTGCTCAACTTACTCCCTTGTTGGGGCTTCTATTATTAGTGCTAATAATAGCTGTCTTGTTTCTTTTCAAAGATTCATCCTCAAGTTCATTTGCAAATTTATTGTTCGAGAGAACTTAAAGTTTATAAATGACCTAAATGGTGCCTGGCACATTTGAATTGTAATTATATTTTGGAGACTTGGTCATTAATATCTAATTATTATCTATTGAAAGTCTACTGAATGACGCTATTGTACTTGTTTAATTGGAACAGGCTTGGAAACTCTAGTGCAACAGAGGAAGGTCCGTGGATAAGAAGCTATGGCTCTCGACGGTATAATAACTTCCCCGCATCGGAGGTCACAGAACGCAGTCTCTTCACCATCATTTAGGAGACAATACTCGAGAGGGAATGATTTTGGAAGTTGTTCAACACTCCTTCAGCGGCATCGCTTCCTGCTCACTGCTCTTGCCCTCTTAGCTTTCCTCTGCACTATATACTTATACTTCGCTGTCACTCTGGGGGCTGACGACGCATGCTCCGGATTGAGTGGAACACAAAAAGCATTGTGTCATGTGGAGCAAGCAAAAGCATCTTTGGCCAAAGGGAAATTGAAATTCTTCTAGTATGAAATGACTATCCAGCTAATAGTGGTTTTGCTTACTGTTGGTTGTTTCTCTTGGGGGTTTCAATTTTAGGTAGTGTGGTTTGATAACCCACCCAATTAGGTGGTTTGGGGTTTTAATGAGATCATTAGTTTTTGGCTATGTACACATGAATTGGTAAAAAGATATGTTTTGAAAAACCTTATGATCACCATAGGTTTTTTTCTTTTGATCAGTATGACCACCATAGTCAATTCTCTTATTTGTGTAGTTGCAGGATTGTGGTCTTTTGGAGACATTAATGAGCTGTATTCTCAAGGAAAATTATGGTATATTTGCAAAAACTAAATAGGCAGTGACTTATTTTAATGTTCGAATCACGGAAATAATATATCTGCACACTGGATAAAACTATGTAAAATTGACTTTCTAGTTTCCAAATTCGAGCTTTGTGGTTTTTATATTGAAGCTCCTTTTTATGTATTTTACCCTAGTTAAATCCTGGTCATTTTTGTACTTGAATGTGGGCTTTTTCAGGATTTTTAGTACTCATCTAAGCTGACTAGGGAAGTGGATGTACCTCTCTGGTAACTTCACTGAAAATGAAGCGTTATGTTGACGTAAATTTGAGTGAATTAGAGCCCCCTAAACAGGGGAAAGTCAAATTTTTTTTTCAGTATCAATACTGTCAATTATCACTTTTTATGATAAAATTATAACTTTGAAATGAAAAGTTATAACTAGTCAGGAGAAGATCATGATCGATCATGCTTCTTAAAGTTGTATCTTACACATCTAAAAAGTTTTAACTTAGACCACAAAAAGTTACAAATTTTGGTACGGTGTCACCAATTGTAGCGTAGACTCCCCCCCACCCCAAAACGGGCAACTTTCTGTATAACTATAATTGAATAATATAAGCCATAGTACTGTAAATGAATTGACAATTAGCATCCAGAAAAGAAGAAAATGTAGGAAAAAAGTTGACGCACTGCAACCAAGTTCCTGCATTTATTAAGAGAACACATTCTCAACCCTTTTGTCTATTATAGAGCTAAAAACACCTGTGAATGCAGAGGAAGGAACCACCATTTCAGTTGAAATTTGAAGTAGTTACAAAAGTAGACACTTTTAAGTCGTATATTAAAGACAATTCAATCACATTAAGCAACTATTCCTCTAAGAGTTCTGATCCAAAGGTACACAATAAGTCTAGACGATTTTCAGTTCTTTGAGCCATGCTGTGTGGAGTGGACATGGATCCGGTTTCCCTTCTGCAATGGCTTTCTCGGAAAGTGAATAGAACCAACCATTTCTCCAGTTGAACTGCAAGAATTAGGCACACTTAATGATCAGGAACAAATTACAGTACATTTTGTTATAGAATCTCATAAATTTACGGTCTTTACCTCCTTCACTGCTGTTGGGAAGTGAGCAACCGCCCGTGAGTAAGCACATAACCTATCCTCCATGGCTGCTTCAAAAACCAAATCCTTTTCTGCTGCAGCTGCAGCTGCCAGTTCAGCAATTAGGCTAGACACCTGAAAGCAGAAAATATCAATTAATTTTTGACTTCTATTGGCTACATTGGCGCATATTCTGCTGCCTCGCATACTGAAGAAAATAAATTGAGTGGGAATAGAAGCACTTTGATGCCCTTGCCCAATTACCCATGTCCCGTGTAGATAAAAACTGAAGTTCACCAGGGTGGCACCTTTAATGACCCAACCCAAGTCTGATAAATAGAACCAGCCAATAAAAAAAGAGCAGTGTCTAATTTCATTCAGTATCACTAAAAACCCACAAACCTTGTAGATCAGACTTCCCAAACTCAGAACTAACACAAAATAAGCAATTTTAGCGCACTACCTGTGGTGTCCATTAACTAAACAATCTAAAAGCTCCCAATAGTCCTTGTTTAATGTCCGGCAGATCAAATCATGGATGCATTACGAAAAGGAAAGTAAAATATAGAGGAAAAAAAAATCATCTTTCAATCAATGATCAAGAACTAGTAGAAACACAAGGATCAAAATAAAGCAAATTTTCGAGTAGTAAACATCAATAAGAAAGACCGGATTCAAGTGATTTTGAACAAAGGTATTATCCTGAAACAGAGCAAATCAAATTTTCAAGTAGTCAATGTCACTAGCAAGACTCTTATCCATTTTGATGCAAGTGATTTTGAACAGAATATGATGATGCATTCATCACATGTTGGTCATCACATAATGATTAATTCAATTTATTGGTTAGATAAATGGACATATGTCAGGATTCTCAATCCCATGCGATATAAACTACCAAACTGTTTGTCTATCTTGAAAATAGCTTCATATTGGTTAAGGCAGTCCAATAAAACTTCTATTTGGCCCCTCAGCGAATATGGCTGGTCCAATCATTCAGCATTTTTGACAGAAAAGTAAATTTTCTGTGAGTAACTGGTTCAGCTAAATATCTTGCTTTCAGCTCATTGGTGCAGCACTTACAGGCTCTAAAGCCAATCACGAAGTGGACAGGAATAGCCAATTGCCAGAAAAGCGGTTTGTGGCAGCCTTCAATCATGTTTTAGCAAGTGAATGCCAGGTCTAAGGTATGACTTCAGGGAGACTTTACCAAGAAATGTGGTATCTTACAGAAACACTTTTATCGGGATACACTTGTTGACTTTGCAAAATGTGACAAAGCAGATTTTTTATTTTTTATTTTTATATTTTGATCACAGCTAGAAAATATGATCAGAATATGTGGTGGAACTTGATCTCACGTTTCAGATAATTGCTAATACTTGGTAGTGAAAGTGACCTTACCTCCGAGTGGAATTCCTTCTCCACAGCACCTACAGTTGCTCCGGGATGACGAGCTCCAACAAGCATAAATGCACATATCCATATAAGCTTCTCCAACATCTGCTTCTGGAAGGCTTCCTTGTCAAGAACCTGGTTTTAAATCAGATACCAAGAGCATTATAAAACTTGGTTGAAAGTCATAATACAAAATACTGAGTAAAGGGCATTGGCCTCCAGCTTTTAGCTAGTGGTCTTGGCAAATAGTCAACACTTTTTATGAGACACATCATGGTAAAGTGTCCAAGCAACAATAAAAACATGAAGAAGTATATGAATCCCTATTGCCAGGATTGTTATGCTACAAAATATGGACACAAACATGACACAATACTGGCACACAAACACAACATTTCTCAAAAAAATAAAACATAAACACGCTGAAGATATGTTACAGATAATTGTGTTTTATATATAAAGTTATATAATTCATTACAAATATAGTGATAATGATTTATTATTCATAAAAAAATATATATATTTTTTTGATGATAAGTAAATGTTATGTCTAGTTATTTAATGTGAATTTTTAGACCAATATCATAATAATCAATAATCATAAATCATAAATTTTTTCATAGACTTTTACTATACAAATACATATATAATGTAAATAATTGCTCTCATTTTCTCAATTGTTCTTTTCTAAATCATTTATGCATTCTTTACTTTTGTTATTATATTTTGAATATAACTTTAACATGTCTAGTCTTGGTAATTATATATTCTCTCATAGTATAAGATACTTAATAGTCAAATTTTTAAGTTTTGTTAATCACATATCAACACCTGTTTATTATTTTGTAATAAACATGGTCTAAAAAAGTGTCGGATACGTGTCTAAAATTAAAATTTTATCATTTAATTATGGTTACGGATAAAAGAATATCAGACAAATGTCTAAGAAGTATCGGTAACCGACATGGATACGTCACCTATTTGAGAGTGCCCGTGCTTCATAGCAGTAATGTTTGGAGAGAAAAAAATAATTTTGGTACCACGGGTTTGGAAAAAAGAAGAAAGAGAGATGGGGTGAACTAAGGTGGGTTTGCATTACAAATGCCAACGAATCCTAGCATCATTTCAAATGAAGTTCCTCACACCATGATTGTGGATGCACCTAGACTCCACAAACTAAGTTTGTTTTATAGTTGCACTGAGGTTTTACTCTTGAATGAAGCTTCAACCTCGCATATAAACTAGTCTCAACTGCGTATTGCACAAAATGCATCCTTTACCTTGCAAGAAAGGCCTCCAGCACGTAATCTTGCAGCCACTGCAGATGCCCATTTCCCATAAGCCGCTGTCAATCCCCCAGGATCTGTGTCGGTCTTACCATCGATGGGAGGTTCACCAAGCTTTGATATTGCAAAATATGCCAAAACTTGGTCTGCTTCCCCTATACCTTTACTATGAAACCATGGCTCCAGCATTCCATTCTGGAAAAAAACCAAATCTGCTAGATTGTTAAGATCCATCACATGATATGGTACATACAAACCCATCAACTATAATCCCCAAAAATTTTGCAAAGTGGTTCTTCAGTAATTATATTGGATTGCAGCTAAGCTTATTACAACTTGCAAGGGTAAACCAAAATGACCTAGTAAAACATCAAATCAAAATAGAAATCATAAACCACACACTTTGATCAAATCAATCGCATCATTCAGTCATGCCCACTCGACAATCATATGAAGTTGGGCTTAGGTACCATTTAGTATCCATGGAAGCATCACACTACAAACTAACTATGCTTTTAACATTTACATCAACTGATATCTAAATGTTATGTGGCCCATTAAATTACAGTTTATGATGTTTAATAAAATGATAGAGCGGCAAGATAAAATTGAACACATTACCATCAACTACTAAATAATTGAATAAAATTGCATTGCAATAGCAGATAAACTCAATTTGAGCTCCATTTTATTCACATTAAACAGTTTTGCGAGAACATTTCTTCTTTTTTGGGCATTTAGTTGCATCTAAAATGTTTTACACAAAGAAAAAAGCCTAAAAATCGAGAAAATGACTTTCAGATACTTTCAATATAAGGCATTCTTTGCAGTAAACACTCACGACTTACATGTCTAAATTTATCAGCAAATACAATATACATGCATACAGAATCAAGAAAACGTATATATATTCATTGCTGCCTACATATTA